GGGGAGATTTCGGGGGATTTTGGGGAGATTTCGGGGGATTTCGGGGAGATTTCGGGAGATTTCTGGGAGATTTCGGGGGATTTTGGGGAGATTTCGGGGGATTTTGGGGAGATTTCGGGGGATTTTGGGGAGATTTCGGGCGATTTCGGGGAATTCTCCGGAGATTTCGGCGATTCCGGGGAGAGTCCGGGAGATTTTGGGGCAAATTCTGCCGATTTTGGGGCGGTTTCGTGAATTTTCGGGGAGTTTTGGGGCAATTTCGGAGAGATTTCCGCCCACTTGGAGCCAATTTCCAGCGATTTTCGGGCAAATTCTGCCGATTTTGGGGCAAATTCTGCCGATTTTGGGGCGCTTTCGTGAATTTTCGGGGAGATTTCCGCCCACTTGGAGCCGATTTCCAGCGATTTTGGGGCAAATTCTGCCGATTTTGGGGCGGTTTCGTGAATTTTCGGGGAGTTTTGGGGCAATTTTGGGGAGATTTCCGCCCACTTGGAGCCGATTTCCAGCGATTTTGGGGCAAATTCTGCCGATTTTGGGGTGATTTCCTGATATTTTGGGGCAAATTCTGCCGATTTTGGGGCAATTTCCTGATATTTTGGGGCAAATTCTGCCGATTTTGGGGCGACTTCTTGATATTTTGGGGCGATTTCCTGATATTTTGAGGAATTTTCTGCCGATTTCAGGTGAAATTCCGGCGGGTTTGGGGCAATTTCCGCCAATTTGGAGCCGATTTCCGCCAATTTCGAGGCGTTTTCAGCCGATTTTGGGCAAAACTCGAGTGGATTTGGGGGAATTTTGAGCGATTTTGGGTTTGGGGCAATTTCAGCCGATTTTGGGTCCATCTCAGTCAGTTTTGTGCCAATTTCCAGCGATTTTGGGGCGTTTTCAGCCCATTTTGGGGCAATTTCTGTCAATTTTGAGGCGTTTTCTGCCCACTTCGGGAAAATTTCTGCCGATTTTGGGCCAATTTCTCCCAATTTTGGGGCATTTTCAACCCATTTTGGGGTGTTTTCTGTCCATTTCGAGCAAATTTCTCCCAATTTTGGGGCATTTTCTGCCCACTTTGAGGCATTTCCCACCCATTTTGTGCTAACTTCAGTCAATTTGGGGCCAATTTCCCCCAATTTCGGGTCATTTTCAGCCCATTTTGGGCCAATTTCTGCCGATTTTGAGCCAATTCCTCCCAATTTCGGGTCATTTTCAGCCCATTTTGTGCCAATTTCTCCCAATTTTGTGCCAATTTCTCCCAATTTCAGGTCATTTTCTGCCCATTTTGTGCCAATTTCTCCCAATTTCGGGCCAATTTCTCCCAATTTCGGGCCATTTTCTCCCCATTTTGTGCCATTCGGGTCATTTTCAGCCCATTTTGTGCCAATTTCTCCCAATTTTGTGCCAATTTCTCCCAATTTCGGGTCATTTTCAGCCCATTTTGTGCCAATTTCTCCCAATTTTGTGCCAATTTCTCCCAATTTCGGGTCATTTTCAGCCCATTTTGTGCCAATTTCTCCCAATTTCGGGCCGATTTTTCCCAATTTCGGGTCATTTTCAGCCCATTTTGTGCCAATTTCTCCCAATTTCGGGCCGATTTTTCCCAATTTCGGGTCATTTTCCGCCGATTTTGAGCCAATTTCTCCCAATTTCAGGGCGTTTTCCTCCCATTTTGGGCTGATTTCTGCCGATTTTGTGCCAGTTTCTCCCAATTTTGGGCCGATTTCTCCCAATTTCAGGTCATTTTCCGCCCATTTTGTGCCAATTTCTCCCAATTTTGAGCCAATTTCTCCCAATTTCGGGTCATTTTCAGCCCATTTTGTGCCAATTTCTCCCAATTTCAGGTCATTTTCTGCCCATTTTGTGCCAATTTCTCCCAATTTCGGGTCATTTTCAGCCCATTTTGTGCCAATTTCTCCCAATTTCAGGTCATTTTCTGCCCATTTTGTGCCAATTTCTCCCAATTTCGGGGCGTTTTCCTCCCATTTTGGGCTGATTTCCGCCGATTTTGAGCCAATTTCTCCCAATTTCGGGCCGATTTCTCCCAATTTCGGGTCATTTTCCGCCCATTTTGTGCCAATTTCTCCCATTTTCGTGCCGATTTTTCCCAATTTCGGGTCATTTTCAGCCCATTTTGTGCCGATTTCTCCCAATTTCGGGTCCTTTTCAGCCCATTTTGTGCCAATTTCTCCCATTTTCGTGCCGATTTTTCCCAATTTCGGGTCATTTTCAGCCCATTTTGTGCCGATTTCTCCCAATTTCGGGTCCTTTTCAGCCCATTTTGTGCCAATTTCTCCCATTTTCGTGCCGATTTCTCCCAATTTCGGGTCCTTTTCAGCCCATTTTGTGCCAATTTCTCCCATTTTCGTGCCGATTTCTCCCAATTTCGGGCCGATTTCTCCCAATTTCGGGTCATTTTCCTCCCATTTTGTGCCGATTTCTCCCATTTTCGTGCCGATTTCCCCCAATTTCCCCCCCGCTCTCCCGCCCCTCCCCGCCCACGTCGCCGCCTCCTGTCGCGACAGCGCGGGGGGCGGGGCGGGCTCCCCTCCCCCCCTCTCGGCCGCCGCCCGCGCCACCTCGGCCTCGAAATGTTCCAGAAAGTTCCGCGCGAAGCGGCGCGAGAAGGCGGCGGCGGCGCCGGGCCCGCCCAGCTGCGGCTGCGCCGCGACAAAGTCGCGAT